GTTTAGGCCCTTGGAAGAAGGATGCATGTTGGAGAAATTTTCTAAGGGTGAACCAATTGGATGTGAGAAATGAGTGGGCAGCGGGGAGAGTAAGGGCTGGCTCAGCTGGCAGGATACCATTTGGCAGACACTGGACGGTGACCAAAGTAGTGGAGGGACTCCTCCTTGAAGAGGGAAATCTGAATCCCTTGGGACAAAGAATCTAACTCCTGTTTCCTAGCACTCTGGGGACAGACAGGTCAGGCCTCCCTGTGCCCTAATGGGTCCTTGTCACCTGTTACATCAGCCCAATAACTCATGCTGCAGACTCCAGAGCCATTTGTATTGCCAGATTCTTCTAGCTAAATGTGTACCATGTGTCCCGCTAACCTTTACAACAGCGGGGAAATGTCTTGTAATTAAGCAGAATATAAAGAATGGAGCCGCCTGGCAGTCTCCTGTAGTCATTATCACTCAGAGGAGATGAATGTACCTAGTAAGATTTCCATCAACCAGATAGAGCCTGCATGTTTCTCCTGGGAGTCCTGACTGGGTTCACCTGTGGGGGAAAAGCACGAATATGTGTGTGACTTGCATTTTGTATGTGATTATTTGTAGCCACATGTTCACGTGTGCATGAATGTGTAGTGTAAGGGGTCGTGGACATGCATGCTCAGGAGTGCATGGATATGTGTGCAGTGAGGGGTGTAAATTCGAGTGTAGCCAAAAACATAAAGCCAGCTCCGGGCTCCATTTGGTCTCCACTGCCTTGGTCATTAAAGAAAGACCAATTCCTTTTAGAGACCAGTGTTTCAATAGTATCATTGGCATGAAGCTAGTGGCACCCCACAAGTGAATGAATGTACAACCTGAATGAATACGTCCCATCAATTCTGTAGGTTCTTGCTATTTTGTCCATCTATTGGGATGCCCGTCACCTTCCTTTCTGACTGGGTCTGTCAATAGTGCACTCTGGAGTTCTAGAGGGAGACCTGCCCTCTTCTCTGATCCTTCACACTTTGTCCACTTTGAAATGCCAAGCTAGCTCATCAATGAGCTTACTGTGGGTCCTCCATGATCTGCAATCGCTCACCACCCACCTGGGCAGACTTAAAAAAAAAAAAAGTGCACTAGATACAATCCCAGGTGTGACTGCTTCCCTGGGATTGCTCAAAAAACAAACTGAGGCCCCAACATCTGGAGGCAGTCTCTTAATGCTGATGTCCTTGGTGATGTGAGTCTTGCCTAGATCCACTTTCCTGACCCAGTTGTCCGTTCCCACACAGTGGGCCACACCTCCCCAGAGCCTGGCCTGGGCCAGCTGGGCCCGGGATATCTGTCTTTCAGAGATTGTGTTGTTGGAATCAGAAACCTCTACCCCAAGAGCCATGGGCCCTACGTTTCCCAGGCTAACAACATGGGAACAAGAATTCTATTCATGGGATGGTAAGGTGCATCTGATGATCATGCAGTAGCCAAAGGCCATGCAAGTGAGGAAAAATCAGTCACAAAGTTTATATGTAAATTAGAGGCCCCCAGTAGCTTTTCAGGTTCCTTATTTAATTCTCATCACCTTGACAAGCTCCATCCCATAGTAAGTATCAGGAAGTGAAAGAAGAAAAACAGAATTTAGTTCCAGCTTGGGAGGCGTGATGATATCATCCCCTACTAAAAGCAACCCAGTGAGTATTAGGCACCAAGCCGGCAGACTGTCAGGCCTTCCCAGGGAGGGATCAGGGGACAGAATCACACAGGAATCAGTATTCTTTCCCGGGCCTCCAGAGGGGATTAGGACAGGAAGCGTTTCCTCAGTACAACTTTGAGAAGAGAGGAAGAGGGGCTCCCTGTTGGCAACACCTCCTCTCCTGCCTACCACATCTCACAGTCCCCATCAACAGCCACCAGGAAATCCTGAGCAGCCAGTGCCACTGGGAATGGCATCTGTGGCCCATCCCCCTCCCTCCACTGGACCCTAGAATGGAAGACAGGACACAGTGAAAACTCTGACTCTGTCCCTACTTCTTGGCCAGGAGTTCCTGAGCCGTCTTTGCAGACTGACCAGATATGGGCTATATGAGTCACAGAGACCCCTGCCCCATTCCTGTCCCGCATCCCCCAAGGGGTCCCCAGGGCCAAGAACTTGAACTATTCTCATGGGGCTGGGTTCCTCCAGTGCCCCTGGGGATGGTTGAATCAGGGATGCTTCCCCTGTCACACAGTATTAGCCAGGTTTGAATAATGTATGTTTCCCTACTTATGCCCTCTATTTGATAATGGGTCCACGTTAGTGTTCATTGGAAATTTTCCTGCTGGATACACACAGAGAGCAATGCACATTTATAAAAGAGGTTTGAATGCACGCTGGGAGGCTAGGACTCTGGTAGTAACTGAATTTTATCAGGCATTCAGCTTAGACAGCGACTTACCAGGAGAATAAACCCTTGGCAAATTTTTTTCTTTAGCCAGAATGGGGGATCTCCCTGATTGCTGTGGGCTTTGGTTTCAAGATGGGCGTGTGTTTCTTCAAGTCCACTGTGGGCACCTGAGTGTTCAGGGCCTGAGCTGGGGAGGAGCAGATGCTGGGGAAGGTCAAGGGTGCCCCTGGAATCGCTCCAGGGACAGGTCACAGAAAAGAAGCTGGAATTCAGCCTAAGGCACAGTGGCTTCCTGCTTGTATGTCCCACAGCCTGTCACCCAAACCACTGTGGACCCTATTTTCTATCAAGTATATACAATAATTACAGGTCAAAGATTTTGAAAAAAGGGCCAAATGAACTGATTATTGAGGCCCCACCGTGTCTGCACTAGGTGCTCTTCTAGGCACTGAGGAGACAGCCATGGGTAAAAGTTCTGGACTTTGTGGCGCTTACTTTGCAAATGTGGGTGACAAAAAAAGACCCAGTACATAATAGAGTATGTTAGAAAGTTGGGGAGACTAAGTAGGGAGGGGGAAGGAGGTGTGGGAGTTGGAGGTGTCAACTTAATGGAGTGGTCAGGGAGAGCCTCGAGGAGGAAGTGGGTTTTGCACGATTTCTTCAGGGAAAAGGCAGCAGGTCATTCAAATACGCAGGCAGAAGCATTCCAGGGGACTGGCAGGCTGAGGCAATATGCCAGGAGCATTGTGGGAACATCAAGGAGGCTTAAGAGGCTGGGGAAGAGTGATCGAGGTCAAGGAAAGGGCCAGAGAGGTCACAAGGAAAGCACATTGGTCCTCACGGGCCATTTTAAAGATGTTGGCTTTCACTCTAGGAGAGAAGGGTCACTGCTGAAGAGCTCCAGGCAGAGATGGAGTGTGGGCTGGTTTATGTGTTAACTGGGTCCCTCGGGCTCTTGTGCTGAGGGTAGACTCTAAGGAGGCCAGGGTGGAAGGTGGGAGGATGGGGCTACAAGGAGAGCACTATCAGAGGGAGGTAGGCAGAAGGCTATGGGCAGTGGTTACATTGGTGATGTGTTTGGAAGAATGTGCTAAGGGATTGTGTGTGGGTGTGGAGGGGAGCCAAGGAAGCAGATTTAAGTAAAGAACTTGTAGGGCACCCAGGCCTGGCACATAAGAGGTAGCTGGTCCCAGTTCTTTCACCATGGCTGGGTGTCGGTATTAGCACGGCTGTACCCACCTGTTGGGCCAGCTGGAGGGGATCTGGGATTGGGCATATAGCCAGAGATGGGGCGAAACCCTCTGAGGCCAGGAGAATTCCTTGGGAAATGGGGATAGCCCAGCCAAAGGAGCTTGATGGGTACAGAGGAGTGGCCTCAGGGACTGTGGAGAGCTGGCTCTGCTGCCATGTGTGGCACAGTCCAGATGAGCTGTGGACTTGACTGAATCACAGGGTCAAAGCCATATTTAATGCATTTGGCACCCACCGGAGCCAAGCCCTATCCCTCAGTGACTCCCAGAACTGAGCTTACCCTGCCCGCAAGAGGTCAGCTAATGTGGGCCAGACCCACCTAGGCCAGCTGGCTCTGCCCCGTGTGTCTCTCATCCTCCTAGGACTAGTCCTGTCTTCCCACAATGGTGACAGAGATGCAAAAAGGCAAAATCAGTCTGCTTCCTAAGCCTTTGGCAGGTCAAGGCCTCCAAAATTCCAACGATCAAGTCCAAAGTCAGGGGGTGAGAAAAATGTATTCCACCTCAGTAACAGGAGGGACTACAGAATCACATCACCGAGTGTGGTCACAAGGAGGGATGGCAGCTTGGCGTCCTAACCCCATCTACCGTCCCCTGCCAGGGCTGGCTCAGAAACTGAGCAGGGCAGAACCTGCAGAGGAGCCGAAGGGCAGAGGGGAGTGGCAACTGGGCAGCTTCCCACTCCTGTGACGCAGTCCCAAGGTGAATCAGTTTCAGAAGAGGGAACTTTGACTCTGGCTCCAAGGATTTCAAAGGTTTCAGTTCATGACCGATGGGCCCCATTGCTTTGGGGCCTGTGGTGACACAGTACATCCTGGCGGGAACATGTGGCAGAGGAAGCTGCTTACCTTATGGCAGCCACGAAAACAAAAAGATTGGAAGGGACAGGGTCCCCAAATCCCCTTCAAGGGCCCACCCTCAGTGACCTAGTGTCCTTTCATTAGGTCTCACATCCAAAAGGTCCAACCACCTCCCAGCAGGGCCACAGGCTGGGGACAGAGCCCTTAACAAAGGGTCCTTGGGGGACATTACAGATTCAAACCTCAGCAGGTTGTGGGGCTTCTCAGTTGGATGCTCACACCTAGTTCACCAGGAGCAGACTGAACTCAGTAGATCTGGTGGTGACATATCGGTTACCTGTAAGGGCCACCAGGGAGTCCCAGAGCCTACCAAGTAGGAGGGCACCTTTCCTGCTACCCCCAGAGGGTGGGCCTTCTTAGCATCTCCTCCTCCACGTCTGAGTCCCTGCTGCCCTCGGTATGTCCCCCTTCAGAGGAGCTCCTGCTTAAAAGTCACTTCTATAGAATATTCCAGACCAGAAAATGGGTCATTCTAGAGGAAGCCCATCCCTGGCCACAGACAACTCAAGTTGTCTTTTCTCTTCTCTCCTCTCCAGTCAAGAAGCAAATCGAATTGAAGTCCCGAGGTGTGAAGCTGATGCCCAGCAAGGACAGCAGCCGGAAGACATCTGTATGTAAGTGTCCACTCGCCCCCCGCTGGGCCTCTTGCGTGGGTCAGATCTGCTGATGCTGTGACTGTGGGGACACCAGATGATGCTGGATGGCTTCCCTTCACCCCTGCTTCCCTCCATCCTGGGCTCTGCACATGGACACACTGACCCGGTGGCCAATGGGAGGCCCGGGGCCTGTCCTCTGCCTTCTCCTCCTCCTCCTGCCCTCCCCTTTCCCCTTCCCCCCTCACTTCCCATCTGAACCGCAGTCCAGGGAGTCATTACTACTACATTTCTCTCTTTATTTTTTCCTTTTGAATCACTTCCACCTGCTAAGACGGTTCTCTTCTGGCTCCTCTTCTAGGAGTCAATAACCTTGGGGTGGGATCTAGGGGGCTACTGAGCCCCAGCGCGAGCTCCCAAAGCCAGATTGAGAGCAGAGGAAGGGACATGCCTAGGGACCTCCTCCAAGGGGCCTGGTGGGACAGCCAGAGGTTGGGGTGGGGGAGTCCTCCTGCCTCTCAGGATGATGGTGAAGGGCTGGGGCTCACAGCGGGGATCACATCTCCGAGAACAAGTTTCTGCCACCGTGTTTGGAAGTTTAAAAGGGCTCCAGGGCTGGGGGTGGGGGCATTTGGAATGTCACCCTGGGAAACACCTGATGGGGCTCTGTGCCGAGGGCCTTTTGAACGAGAACAAAGGGCAGGGAGGATTCTGGGCCCCCAGAAGGCTTTTCCAGAAATCTTCCATTTGCCTTCTGGAGGCAAGTACAGGGAGCCTGCCCTGGTCCCCCGAATGACTGACCCCTGGTTTCCCTCCCCCTTCCTCCCGCTTCCTGTCCTTCTGCTTCTCTTTCCTCCCCTTCCCTCCACTCTCTCCTCCGCCTTCCCACTCTCCCCCATCTTTCCCCTCACGTCTCCACTCCCCCCTCCCTGCTTCTCTAGTGGTGCCTGCCTGGTTCTCTGCCCTCCTCATCGCCCTCCTTCCATGTCACTTCTGTGTGCTGCCAGAAGGGCCTGTTATGGAGAGATGGGGCCACCATGGAATTCCCAGCTCTGTGCTGGGGGTGTGACCCGGAGAAGGTCGAAGGCAGGGGCAGTTGGGGCCTGGTCCCGACGGGCCTGAGCCTTGGTAGAGGGACTTGTCTGGATTTTCAAGACCTGGGAATGGAGATGGCACAGCTGGCATCTAGCATCTCTGGTGGCCCCAGCCTGAGGGGACTGGATAACAGGGCCGTCGGGAGGCCCTGTTGCTCTGCTTGAATGGGGAAGGGGCAGAGATCCCTGGGCCAGGCCGAGAATCTGAAGAGAAGGCTGGAGCCGTGACCTTAACCCTCACAGGTACTTTCTGTCTAGCCACAGGAGACCATATGAGCTGGGGAAGGCATGTTCAATTTCTGACTTTGCCCTGGTGCGGCTCCAGGACAAACTTAGGGAAATGGCCTGCATGGGGACCAAATGCTCATCCCAATGGTGTCCTCAGGTGGCCATGCCACCCAGGACACTCATGTCTCAGCTTCCACATCTGTAGAAATGGGGATACAAAGCCCTTCCTAGCCTTCCTCTGAAGGATACTGTTGGATCTAATGTGGACCTTCCTGACCTTGGACTTCAGGGGTCCATGAACTAGCTGAGAAGCTGCCTGTGCTCTTGGAGGTGGTTTTCTGGAGCAGGTCCATGTGCTTTTCATGCCCAAAGCTCCCTCTGAAATATGACAAAAACCTTATTCTAATGAAATAATGCAAACACTCTAAATATATGAGTATCTTTCCATCAACAAGGGATTAATAATCTTCATTCCAAGATTTCCTCGGAAAAGTATGGATATGACCAGGCTGCTCAGAGGCCAGAAGCCAAATGTCTGTAGATATCTGGCCCTTTGGGTTCTGCCCCAGTTCCCTGGGAAGAGGTCCTCCACTTGAGGGGAGCAGTGGACCTTGCCGATTGCTTTGACCAGGCAATCTATGAGTACCCCAAAGCCCTGGCCATCATTGCTCCTGGCCACCCATCTGTCGGTGTCTCCCTTCAGTCAGGTAGAAGGCATTGCCTTTTGAGCATGTCACAGCTTGTCCTTACTAAGGGGCCTTCTAGGGGCAGGGGAAGACCCACACTCCATCCTGTCCCTTAGTAGCCAAAAGTAAATCAACACGGTCAACACCAGCCACTGGGTATAAATGGACAGCGAAGACTGGCAGGAAGCAATGAAAAGGGCAATGCCTCTTGCCTCCATGATTAGTTAGTAACCAGTTCACTGAGATGAATGTTTACTTGTTTCCTGGGGAGGCGTGAAGGTCCTCCTGGGACTGCCGTCGTCGCCTGCTGGGTCCTCCTGGTGTCAGCTGTGTCACGGCTGGGTTGGAAACTTCCTGGATGGCGCCTGAACCTCCCATGGGGCTGGCTGACTGAAGGGGAGCAGCGGGGTCTGCTCTGTGGTCAGGAGCTATGGCTGGGCAGGGGCCTTGGCCATGGTCCAGCTCCACCGTCACCCTTCAGTCTTCAACTCTGTCTGCTTCCTGGGTGGTGTCAGTGGTGAATTAGAGGGAAGAGAAGGCGTGGGAACCTCTGAACAGTGTCACCGTGCTGAGAGCGCTCTGTGTGGCTTCACCGTGGTGGGCGGCAGGACCTCTGTGATGGGTGTGGCCTGTGGCAGGTCAAGTAGGCAGGACCTAAGGGGTACTTAGCTGCGGTGGGGACTGGTCACTGGGGCTGTATGAGTGGCCAACCTACCAACAGGAAAACTAAGTATAGTTCAGGACTATCTTCCGCACCTCCTCTGGAGAGAGGGTCCATGGTTCCCCTCCCCTCTGGGGTCTTCTTCTTTCCATCACTTGCTAAACACCAAGGCTCCCAGGAAGCAGGAGCTTGCTGTACCTTTGGGGATGACACTGACATCTTCATGTCCCAGCCCAAGAGTTTCTGGGCTGGTAGGAATGGTGGCTTTGTTTAGGATGTAAAAGTTCTGGAGGTAGAAGCTTGGCAAGGTAGGGGGCATGTTTAGGGGAGAAGCATCCTGGGGAGGAACTGTCCTTAGCCTGGCAGTGTGGGGGTTGGAGAAAGGAGACTACCCAGAAGGCCTTGCACTCGTTGTCACACGCTGCCGGTGTGTGGTGTCTGACTGAGCATGCAGTCTGCCTCAGTCCTCAGATCCACGTGCTTGACCACCTGGATGTTTGAACAGGGTTTTTGTTAGGCCTCTACCTTTAGAAATGAGCTTCAGAGCCAGTGAGTCTAAACTGGGATCCCCACCCACACGGCCTCCATCAACTACCACATTCTCACAGGGCCCCGGGCCCAGGAAACCCTGCTCCCTCTCCTGTCCTAGTCCTCCACAAGCTCTGGTGATCCTTTCTTTGCCATGTCCTTTCCCACTGTCTCATTGCCTGTCCCCATTATCAGGTTCTTGTTGTCCATGAATAATCACCAAACTTCCTAACTCATCTCACAATGAGAGTAATCCAGGTTTCACCGTCCCTTCTCCCACTCACAACTCTTCAGGAGCTCCCCGTGGTATTTGAGATCAGACTCAAACCCCTTAAAATTCTGACCTCTGAAATCTCATCTTCAACTTTCCTTATCACCCTTCACACACCCCCTCGTCTGGCCACACTGAGCAACCCCCAGTTGTTTCCACCTTTCTCCTGTGTGTCAGTTAGCTCTTCATTGCTGTGACCAAAATACCTAACAAGAACAACTTAGAGGAGGAAAAGGTTATTCCAGCTCATGTTTCAGAGGTCCAGTCCACGGTTGGAAGGCTTGATTGCTTTGGGCCCAAGATAAGACAGAACATCATGGCAGAAGGGTCTGGTGAAGGAAAGCTGCTCAACTCAGAGCATCCAGGAAGCAGAAAGAGAATGAGGATCCAGGGGCGAGATATATCACCCCCAGTGACCCACTCCTCCAGCCACGCCTCCCCTGCCTCCAGTTACCACCCAGCACCGTCCATTCAGATTATTAATCCATCAATTGTAACTTCATCCTCTGATTAGATTATAGCCATCATAATCTAATCGTTTCACATCTGAACATTGCTGCATTGTCTCACACATGAGCTATCTAGGGGACACCTCAGATCCAAACCATAATACCATGTCTGTCTGTCTGTCTGTCTTTGTCACTCTGTGTTCAAATCCTACCTCTCCAGAAGGTCCATGTTAAATACCTCCTCCTCCAGGCAGCCTTTCGAACTTCTCCCAGCAACATGACACTGGTCCTCCCTCTGAACATCCCTGTAGCGGCATGCTCATCCCCTCCCCACTGCGGTTCTGTAGTTCATTTCCATGTTCCATATCTTTACGCAATTGGAAGCATCTTGAGGATAGTAATCATATCTGACTACACTTGGCATCTCCTATGGTATCTAAAAGAAGGCCTTGTGCACATTGGATGCTCAATGATTGTTTGTTGTGTGCTCATGTGCAGGAATGAATGAGTGGGTTATAGAGCTCGTTGCTCACATTATGGGATGTTGAATGGAAGCAGCGGAACATGGGCAAACTCAGGTCCTGATGCTCCAGATGCCCTACAACTTCTCGTACAGAGGTTGCTATTGGGATTGTGGGATGGGTGAGTCCTTGAGTGAAACTCCTCTGGCCAGGCAACTCCTGGCCATCCTCAAAGCCAGGAATCCAGAGTTGTGAGTGCTTCTCCCCTCATCAGTGAGTGCATCCAAGAACAATGGTCAGGCAGGGACTGACAATGACTCACCCTCTGCACTGTGTTTGTACCTGCCACCCTAGGACCAAGCATCTACTCTAGTGGAGAAAACTGTGCATATGGTTTCTGTAAATAGGAGTCTGGTGTTGGCAAGTGTCAGGGTTATTACACTACCTGCTGGAACCACAGATCCCATCTCTACTTGGTGGGGTTGGCCGGTGACATTGGGCAGGGTTGGGGGAATTCTTTGGTTACCACTTACTCTGGCTTGACAAATGGCTGATGGGAAGAGGTTTTGCAGAAGAAATATCAATATTTGAGCTCAAGTCCCTGCTTTCAACTTCAAACTTCAGCTTTCTCTTACATTCTTTACTATTTCTGATCATGCATCCACCTTTTATTTAACTTCCTTTGAGTCATTTCTCCATTGGGGGCTGAGGTGGGGGGGCTCATCTCATCTAGAGTCTCCACCCCTTGGAGCACAGGGTGGGGAGGTCATCAGGGGCTATGAACGGTCCACCTCTGGCCACTGGTGTGGGATGAGGGAATCAGGTGGTTGTTGGTGGAGGGAGTGTGTCACGGAGCCCACAGACTCTTGGTAAATTTCACTTGGATTTTTCTTGCAAAGGAATTTGTCAAAAGCAGATCCCTACCTTACTCACTCAGGAAAGCCCAGCCCAAGAGACCCCAGCCACCTGACAGGGCCCCACAGAGCAGGGCTTCATTCTGTCTCTGCCTTCACCCCCCACCCTGAGACACTGCCCCAGATGGTGCCTTTCTGTGACTATCCACTCTGTATGTACTGTTTTTTTGCCTTGTAGTAACTCAGGTTGGTGTGTCCCAAGGACATAATATGTGTCCAGACCCTGGCATACCTGAAAGGGGCAAAAGACTAGGCTCGGATTTCAGGTAAGATCCACTGGGGAACTTTCTGATTGCAAGAAGGGTGGGGTGGCCTGGTTGCGGGGAGATGAGGCCTGGCCTTCCTGGAGGTGGAATGAAGAGGAAGGCATGGATGAGGGAACTGGCACTTGTGGGAGAAAAAGCCGTGGCCTTTGACCTTCTCTCCTGGTCCAGTCTGTAGAAGCCATGTCTTATGGCCAGTGGAGGTTGTCAATGGTCAATGCTGTCCAGAAAGCTTATGTAGCCAGGGTACAAAAGACCACCATTCTCAGGAATGATAAGCCAGCAGACAATTCATACCTGCAATCATCTAGGAGACCCCAGGTCCCTGAGATAGTGCATTTTGCAAAATTTCAAACTATCAAGTTATGTTCCCATAGTGCTCCGTTTCCATTACAGCGTATGGGTATCATCCCCCTACTCTTTGCTGCCCTAATTGGTACTTATCTCAGAGGATGGCTGTTTCGCTCATAAAGTCACCTTTTAACTCAATCCTAAAACCATTTAATGATCCAAAAAAAGATGAAGAGCGGATATTCCTTCCATTGGAGATTTTAAGTAATAAACAGTAGAGCAGAGATTAAAGGCCAGAAGGAGAAGGAACTTGGGGCCAGAAGTTGCTTGGGGGACTTGATTGACAGGAAGGACTTGGGGGCAGGGCTTGGCAGGCCCAGGCACTGAGCTCACGGACACACCTTGTCTCCCAGGTTAGGATCCAGCGTCCAGTTCACCTGCAACGAGGGCTATGACCTGCAAGGGTCCAAGCGGATCACCTGTATGAAAGTGAGCGACATGTTTGCGGCCTGGAGCGACCACAGGCCCGTCTGCCGAGGTGAGGGCGCCCTGGGGAAGGGAGGCCACCCAGAAAGAGGGGCTGGGAATGGAGGACGAGGCCCAGCTTCCAGCTCCTGAGACCCAGGCTCTCATCCTTCTGCTCCTGGGGCTTTCAGTCCTGCGTTGATTTGCCAATGACCATATTTATCCAGCAGCCTCTCTGTATCAAGGCCTACTAGGATCGGGACAAACAGAGGACATTACCGTTGAAGGAGGGATGCACTTATGTAGCAGATTGCTAGCTCACTGCACTAAGACATCACAACCACAACTAGCTAGGGAAGGACATCAGCCCTTATCCTGTCCCCTGGAGTCCTCCATTGTAACACATACACACTAGAGCCCTCTGTTCCTGTGACCTTGTTTATTTACCTACATGGTGGACCCAGAACATCTGAAATGATGTTTTTAGCTCTACTTAAATGGAATGGACCATTGGATCCAAAGGCTTCTCTCTGGGCTTCCTCTAGCCCCATACCTGGGCATCTTGTTCTAGAGGGCACTGCCACCCACATGTCCAGGTATCACACAAACCAAAGGTAACCTGGCCTGGCACCCTTCCCCCCCACAAGTAATCTTAAAACATCAGACCTGAGTGGAGGCCTTTATTGGAGCAGGAGCACACTGCTGCTTTGGTAAGGAAGCCCCTGACCTCATTCCCCAGGATGCCCTCAAAGGGGGCTCCTGAGCACTGGGCTCTTAGATGGCCTTAAAAAGTCAACAGGGCTCATTTCGGTGCCCCTTTGGGAGAGAAGGTCTTTTGCCCGCTGAAAAGTTACATCCTGGATCCTTCTGACCTAAGGAGATTCTTTGCCTCTCTCTAGACACAAGCATCAGGATGAAATTCACATAGGGTAAGAGAGGTCCAGGAGAGAAAGCAGATCCTTCTTACACCAAGGAAGAGGCAAGGTTGCAGCTGAAAATCAGTCCCTTTCTGTTTTTTTTTTTAATTTTTTAAAAAAATAAATGACAGCAGAATGCATTACAATTCTTATTACACATATACAGCACAATTTTTCATATCTCTGGTTGTATACATGTATGAAGTACATGTATGAAGAAACCAATTCGTGTCTTCATACATGTACTTTGGATAATGATGTCCATCACATTCCACCATCTAAACCCTTTCTTTTTTAATGTGATGATAAGAAATCTGGAAGAGGGCCATGAAAATCTTTAAATAAGTCTTAGGTTTATTCTTTTTCACTCTTCTCTGAGATGGCCATGATCCCCGGTTTATTATGTGTTCTGCGTTTCCATGACTTTCAGGTATATTATTTCAAAGGTATATATATTATTTTGAAAAATCAAATAACAACAAAAAAATTTAGTATAACTCTAACCTATTCTGTTCCATCATCCCAGATGTGGAACACATATAAAAATTTAAATCAATCAACAAATGTACTATGTATGACTTGGGACTTATGGGCCAACTAACTGGGCAATTACCTATTTCCTGTGGGCCTATGACCATTGTTTGTTTGTTTGTTTGTTTGTTTTAGTTTAGTGGTGCTGGGGATCAAGCCCAGGGCCTCGCACATGCCAGGCACATGCTCTACCACTGAGCCCTGCCCGGGCCCTATTTTTTCACCTATAAGCATAGCTAATTATACCAACCTAGCGCTTCTTGTGTTTTGTGTGAAGAGCAAATGGTTTGTAGTTTTGTAAATACTTGATGAATTGGCAGGTGCTAGAGGAAATTAATACCCTCGTGCTAGAGCATGAGCTCTATGGGACAAGGACTTCTGCTTCATGCATCACTTCCAATAGGGCCTGGCACCCAATAGGTGCTTCATAGCACTTGTTGAATGAGTGATGGGATGAACGCGTAACTGCAGAGCACATCCCTCCAACTGCACAGCCAGGGCACCAGCTCTGTGGAGAGGCAGAGAATGAGCCTGTCTGAGGACCAAGGGACGCATGGCCAATCTGTTCTTCCAAAATCCCTTTCGAGAAGCCAGAACCAGAGTGCCTTCAGGCAGTGCTGGGATCTGATGTCTCACCAAGACCTTTCCCTGGGAGGAACTTTGTTCTTGATGATGGCTGTTTACACGAACATGCCAAGGGTGGAGAAAGGCTAGTGGTGAGGAAGTTCCTGGTGGGGTAACATGCTCATCTTTTTCTCCAAAAATGTGGCTCATCCAAGCCATCTCCAGTGATTTGGACCCAGCGGGCTGAATTCTCTGCTATGCTTTCACCAACTGTTGGGCTAACCTTTATCACATCTGTAATCTCATTCTGTCCCCTGCTGCTGTGAAACAGAGGTGGTGGGAGTCGTGGTTCGAATCCAACTCTCATCACTTTTTTACTTGGTGTCCTTGAGACAGTTTCTTCACCTCTCTAAATCTTTTTTTTCACCCTGCAAAATGTCAGTGACATTCAAACATTTCTTGAGGGCATTACTTGGGGAACAAGATGAGGCAGTGGTCTTGACAATGCTCTTTAAGAAGCGGTGCCAATGTGCTGCATACTCTGGCTCGTGTACCTTCTGGGCACTGTTGGTATTCAGCTTCCTCAAGTCCCAGAGCAAACCTCAGCCACGTGCGGCTGTGCATGTTTTCAAGAGCCGCTGTCTTGTTCAATCTTAATGCAACCACATGGTTTGGAAGTCACTCGGACTTTGATCTAGATCACAACTCTGCCGCCTATTATCTGGCTGGCCCTGGGCGAGTTTGTCCTTTTTAACCACAGGGCCCTTGCTTGTGGATGCAGAAAAGAAAACCTCCCCTGTCTACCAATTCTGAAGTTTAAAAAAGTTACATTGCAGAAAGTGGCAAGCCCCAGCTGCCAGGGGGGGCAGGGGGCTCAGGCTCACCCCTTGCTTCTTCTCCCTCTTCTGCTCCTCTTCCATGGGCCATTGTAAGGGAGACAGAGAGAAGGCCAAGGCTCCTCACTTTGTGCTTGACTGATCTGTCCTGGGCTTCCCTGCCAGCTCAGGCCAAGGGCTGAAATGAATATTAAATTCTAAGGTCTCTTTATTTTGGAAGTCTTTAAGGTTTTCTTTTAAAACCACTTTTTTTTTTATTAATTGGAATTGCTACTCTAATTATGATTTTTAGAAGAGTTTTGGTGAAGCCCAGTTTAAGAATAAAAAGGACAATAATCTTTCAATTATAAGAAGCTCTGCTGAGAAGCAGGTTACCAAAAGATCATATTCTAAAAAGCATTGGCCACCATACAAAGTGGTATTATTTTCCCTCTAATGCATTTAAAATATGATTTGGTTTTAAATATTCATTTTTTTCCACACAATTAATTCTACTAAAACACAGGGCCTGGCAAATAATAGGTTCTCAATAAATGTTTGAGGGCCACCTGGATGAATCAGAGATTGAAATGAATGAACAATATGGAACTGTGCCCTCATTTTGGAATTTGAAATTAGGTATTCACAGTCCTTTCTTTTCTCCCCCCCCCCCATCAGAAGAAATAAACTTCTAATTTTTGACTCCTAGAAATCTTTGATCATGCAAAGGAGATTGAGGGCAACACAGAGAACCGGTAAACTAATTCCGGGCAGCCCCAGATAGAGGCAGGGTAGTATGGCACAGGGCTTTCATGGGGGGCCAAATACTTCAAAATAAACTTTGCAACAAGTAAAACAGATACAACTAGAGTTTCTCTGATTGAAATAGGGTGGGAAATTTGGAGGGGCTCTTCCCTGGCCACTCTCAGCAGTGTCCAACCCTGGGGCTCTGGGAAACACTGTTTTTAATCCACTGATATAAAGAACAGGATCAAATTAACAACACAGCAACCTGGTTTCTTTCTTTCTTTTTTTTCCCCCAAGTGCTGGGGTTCAAACGCAGCATACTAGGCAAGTGCTCTGCCACTGAGCCATACCCCAGCCCCTAAGACCTGGCTTCTCTCGACCACAAGTCAGTGTTGATGAAACAGCCCCAGGCGAGATACTGATTCACCTGTAAATACTGATTCATAAAGTCAATCATTAACAGAAAACCATATATTATTTTTTCTTTGTGGCTAAATCTCTGTGTGTGTGTGTGTGTGTGTGTGCGCACATTTGTTCAAAATACATCCTTTTTGGTGGATAGAATACCAGTCTTGGGACTTCAGAGACCAAAGTTCAAGTTCCAGCTTCATTACTGACAAACCATACAGCATAAGGGAAATCACTGACATGCCCAGAATTGTTTCACTTACCTGTAAAATGGGTGAAATGTGGGAAATAGTACGCAGGCCAGGCCGAATCCAATGCCATTGATAATGACAGGTCTGCTCTTCCTTCCTGGTGGCCTTCGCTGGACCAGCCTCCTGAGCCTCCCCTTGAACACTGTCTAGTTTCCTCTTTCTTCTCTCTTCTCTGCTCTTTTCTCTCCTCTCCTTTTCTGTCCCCTCTCTCTTGTATGTCCCAATGCTCCAGCCCTAAGAATGTCCCCGAATCCCTTACCTATACATGCTAATGACAAAGCTCCCATTTATTAAGCTATTATACTTGTCGAAAGCCTGGCACTAGGCATTTTTCATAATTTCTTTATGAGGAAGTAGCAATAACCATATTTCACGTTTAGCTGCTCAGCAACTTACCCAAGGGCACAAAGCCAATCATCAGTTGATCTGAGTTTCAAACCCAGACTCCAGAGGTTCTAGGCTTCTTCCACTTGAAAATTGTTCCTGCCCATCCTTCAGAGTGTTGGTTGGACCATACAGAATAACTGTCCTTCCACCACCACCTCCCCACACTGGGGGTAACTTTTTATTTTAATATAATTGTAAACTTATAGAAAAGTTTCATTTAAGGTGCAAAGAAACTCCCATATACCCATCACCCAGATTTAGGCAACTTCTTTGAAGGAGTTAATGGAGCAGGAACTCAAGGAGGGTGAGTCAGAGAGACAGGAGAAAACCAAAGAGGCATCCTTGAAGCCAAAGGAGGGTCCATGGGATCAACATACTCCAGAGAGGTCAAGCATAATAACAGCTGAAAAGTGACCAGATGGGTATCTGGCTTGAGCAGGTGGGGAATGTTTGAAGTTGTCTTTGCAGATAATTGGCCAGGAAACCAAAGGGAGAAGAGTGATTTGGAGCTTCAATTATGGTGGCAAACCATGAATTTGGGGTAATGCCACAGTTCTCCTGGAGGCTCCTGTGGCCTCTGGAATCAGGAATACAAAAGTGGATGGTAGAATTGATACAAGGCAGGCATTTCCCCAAGCACACGGGAGAGTGCAGAGGGAACTAAAGGCATTGGTGAGTGGTTTTGAGGTCAGACTGGGCAGTGGAAGAAGGGTCAGAGGGGGTCAAGAAAAGGGGAGAAAGGTGGGGGCAAGAAGGCTACAGCGCCCCGGGATCGAGGACAACAGGTGCATAGAGACCAAAGTCACTGCCGGGAGCTTAGACAATGGAGGAAGGAATGGGAGGTTGAGTTGAAGCGCTGAGAGTGAAACTTACCTGATGGCCCGGGCAGTGGGGTCCTGGTATGACCAGAGAAGGCAGGGTACGGGATGTCATGAAAAGGAATGTCCTCTATAAGAAGGGACCACCCCTCTGTTAGGACAGGAGAAGAAAGGAAATGAACACATCAAGAGACAGAACTGCACACTTCAGGAGTGGGAGCAAGGATATGCCTGCTAAATGCTTCTGTTTCCTTCAAAGGGGAGGAGGCAAGACCACCAGCCCAGAGCAAGGGAGGGGAAAGGAAGGGGAGAGGCCCAGGGGCCTGTCAGAGGCATGAAAGGGTCTTTGAGCAGGATGGAAGTGAGCTCAAGAGCTAAATGGCAGGACTGCTGGGCGAGACCTAGTTTTCTTTGCAATGGGAAATCATGAATTTATAATGACATCAATCTTCTTTCTTTTGTGATTTTTTTTTCCCAGCAAATCTCAACCATGTAGGGGCAGGTATAGAGAATGCAGGCAGAGAGACTTAACCCAACCAATGGCTTCCAGGCAACTGATGAAAGGGAAGAGGGCAAGGGACTTAGGAGGGTGACAAGGAAATGACCATAATGGGGGACCATGGGGTATAAGCTGGGTGCACGCAGAAGGAGGGGGCTGGTGAGCAGAGGGAAGACATTGGTGTCAACATAGCAGAGGTCTTGATGGGTCAAAAGTGAACTCTGGGGCTTAGCAATCATTTCCAAAATGAACCACCAGCAGCTTAGTAGGTGGGAGGGACGCAACCTCCAGCCAGAGGGCTGCAGAGGAAACAGTGGCCTGGGGAGAGGGGTGGGATGCCGTCAGGGCCTGAGTTGGGGCAGGAGGTTCTGAAAAATGGTGCAGCCACAACACCCCAAGGGGTTTTTCCACCTTGGGGGTGGTGGGGAGATGGTTCCAGGGGACAGTGGACAAGGCAGGAGGAAGATCAGTGGTAGGAGAAGCAAGGGAAGGCAGATGGTGCCAGGAGGAGCATGATGGGGAGGAAATCTAGGAGGCTAGAGGGACTCCTGCGCCTCTGGGAGCAAGCAGTTCCCTTCTCCAGTGCCAGCGCTGACCGCGGGTGCAGTGGTCTCTCCCACTATATGGCACAGTGATGACCAGAGGAAGAGGGGGAGGGGCGCAGAGCCCAGAAGTCTCTCCTGAAAGCTACTCAGAGGAGGCTTCAATAGGAAAAGGCAAACAGAGAAACACAAAGAGACGTTCACTCATTGATTCAGACATTGTCTGAGTACCTACCATTTTGCCAGCCCATCTGGGTCCCGGTAAGGAGCTTTTCCACCTGCTGGTGGGATCCCAGGAGCTGGCTGCTCAGGGGGAAGACTGTCTGCCCGAACAGTGAAGGGAAAAAAGTAGCTAAAGCTCTATTCAGAGCCTATTTTAAGGTGCCTCGTGCTAACTGCAGATTGTAATATTTTAATTAAGCCCCTCCAAGCCCTTAAAGTGGGAAATGCCTTTTTGACCTGTTCTCTCTAATTACCTCCAGCATATTTCAACAGACTGCAAACAGCATCTAATTCTTGGAAACAAGTGCAGGATAAATTGAGTCTGAAGCTGAGGGTTTTGGCAACCAGATCTGATTTTCCAGAAGAGGTGGAAGATGGTGCTGGCGGAGATTTATAAGGATTCTCTGCAGGACTAGAGTTCTGAATCCGCAGGTCCTCTCTGCAGCCATGGGATGGGATCGTGGTTTGGGTTTTCATTATCTTATTCTAACTGGTTTAATGATGTTGTCAGTCTCAAGTGCAGTCAAAGGAAAAAGCCTATATAAAGAAACTTCAGGAGAGGCAGGAAAAAAAGCTCCTTAGCCTTGAGAGAAATCTTAGGCATAGAGAAAGGGATAAGCATGGCATTGATCTGGTAGTCCTGGTCCCCATTGTTCAATACTAACAATGTCCTAGGCTCTGGGCAGAGCCTTCACGTCCATCATCTCATATAATTTCATCTTCACCTCCTCTCCGTGAGTTGTTATCACTCACAGATGAAGCAAAATCAGAAAGGTTTTCTAATTTACCCAGGTTTAACCAACCAGCAAATGGACTTAGACCTGGGACATTGGTAAGCCCCAAAGGCTCACCTCTTCTCCACCATGCCACCCTGTCCTGGGGCCCCGGGGGCATCAAGTACCATCTGTGCATCTAAGTTTCTCAGCATGTGATTAAAGGAGAAATCAGAGACCCGTGAGGGAAACTAGGGAAGGGGTGTGGGTCAAAACTCGATTCAGTCAATATCTGAGCTCCTCCCAGGGGAGCAGGGGATCCCCCAGGTGCAGGACAGGTTGAGCCGCTGGAAGGAGGGGCTTGCACAGGGACTGAGCTACAGGGAGGAGGGAGCGATTCCTACCCAAGCCCCTTGCAGACAACCCTGTTGCAGCTCTTGCTCGGCTCTATCGTAGACGTTCCCATGCCTGCTTCCCACATTTTCTCTGGCCCTTTAGAGAGGAGAAATGGTGTCGGGCATTTTTCTCTCCCCATGTTCTGGCTGGACCGTAATAAGCACTTAATAAATGTTGGAGTGAATGAGTACATGAGACGGGAAGAGATTCATTACGTCTGGGAGCCATGCAACCTGCTCCCAGACCCTGGGAAGGGTTTCCCGGGAAAGGTTTATCATGGCCCTGTCCCAGCGTGGAGAGGAGCTCCAGGACATTTGGGCTCGTCAGTGGAAACCAGGTTTGACACCACTTTCATTTTATATACTTAGGCCTGTTGAGTTTGCTCACTCTTTCTTTCCTGTTAGGCACTTTGCCCACAATTAGGATAAATTGCCATGTGGGCAGCCACAAAGCAGGTTCCTAGGGCCCTTTATTAAAATAGCAGCACGCTAACGTTGAAGAATGAAGTGGCCGGGACTCGGGCGCACGTTTTTAAAGAAAGCAAACACCTAGATACAATGTCGTACCTTAACTGTGATCAATCACTACTTAATCTAATTAGTTTAGAAGCTATTTTAAAGAGCTTAATTAGATTAAGCTGTGATTGATAACACTTTATATCTACTTGAGGAGAGCACTTCTTTTAATTCACCTTGAATCTTTACACTTCCTGGCAAAAGCGTGTTTCGGGCCTGGGCTGAGTGTGGGGAAGGATTTGGAAACTACTTGGTTGGCACTGAAGTCACTCTGGTGCCCAGCACTGGGCTGAGTCAGGGACCTTGGCAGAGTCCTTGGGCACAGGCCTTTTGAGATCTAGTGGAGTGGCCTTGACAAGGACATCCTGAGATTCTAGTTCAGGAGGCCTGTAGTTTTGTAGATGGAGGGATTGAGGGCTGGCAGGACCTGGCAGGGGTCAGACTCTTGGGTAAACAGACTTGGGTCCAGAGTAAAGCACTAACTGTTTGGAGAACTCGAATGAAAATAGGGAAACAGCCAGGTGAACAGAGGCAGGTCCATAGGTGCCCTCACCCAACCAGCTGAGGGCAACACGTCTGCACCCTCCTGCTGAAGATGAGCTGCTTGATCTCAGTGGAGTCAAGGATGTGGGCAGGAGCTTCAGGGAACTTAACCTGCCTTGGAAATGCATCTTTGCCTGCAGAGCAGCAGGACAAGGCTTCTGGGGCCTGCCCGCCCCTACCCCAGTGCTCCAGAGACTGTGATCCCCTGTTGAGCCTGCTGAGAGCTATCAGGGAAGGATGCAGGAAGCAGGTTATTTCTGGAGTGGGACTATAGAGATTGGGTCTCTTCTGGGCTGGAAGTGGGAGGCGGGAAGGGGGACTAGACCTAGTCTAAACTGAAGAGGCCTGTCTCCCGTCTTCTCTCCGCAGCCCGCATGTGTGATGCCCACCTTCGAGGCCCCTCAGGCATCATCACCTCCCCCAATTTCCCCATTCAATATGACAACAACGCGCACTGCGTGTGGATCATCACAGCCCTCAACCCCGCCAAGGTAAGGCTCTTGGGGTGGGGTGGGTGGGGGGTCCTGTGGGCAGCGCCAAGTCAGGGACAGTTGGTCTACGAGGGATTTCAAACACAGAGCCTGGTGGTGTAACTTCTCTGCAAACAATTCCTTTAAACTTGTTTGTTTATTTTTTTTCACTACGTATTGAATAAATAAAATCATTCATAAAATATAAACAAGATATAAATAATATCACACAACAAATGCCTGCATAGCCATCTCCCAGCTTAAGGGGGGGAAAGTCACAGTCACCTTAGTGACACCTGACTGTCACCAATCCCAGCCCCTTCCCTGCTCCCTTGGAGGTAAGCACTGCCTCATCTGTGTGTTGATTATTCCTTTGCTTTTTTTTCATACTTAGCACTTAAGTGAATGTCCCTAAATGGATTGTTTTGCATGCCAGCATTTGATCCATATAAACATGATCACTTGTATGTACTGTGTGCTAACCAACTTCAGTCGAAATCCATCTATTTTGTGTGTAGTTTATCACTGCTGTATGCATCTTTTCATATGTTTATTTCCCGTTTACCTTTTTTTTTTTTCCTGGGTCTTCTGCTCTCTTTTATAAATTTTTACATCTTACCAAGGTCCACAACAACCTGGGTGAATCTTTCTTTTAATTATATCAAAACTGCAGACCAACGGGAGAATTGCTGTCTTTCGATACTGAGTCTTCTAGTACCTGAGTATAGTATATCTGTTTGCTTAGGGTTTCTTTAACAGCTTTCAATAAACTTGTGTGCTTTTATTTTTATTTCCATCATAGATATTATACATTTTTTAACACATTAACTCCTAATTGTCTTCTGTTTGTTAGTATAGATACTCCTAACTATATTAAAAGACATACCTTTTAAATTGCATTTTCTACCTGTTTCTTGTTGGTATTAGAAATGCAATTGATTTTTGTACTTTGATTTTTATATAGAGTAACTTGTTGTAATCATTTATCTGGATACATTCTTGGGGGTTTTCTACATAAATGGTCATCATCTCCAGAGAATGATGACATTATTTCTTCCCTTTGAGTCCTTCTGCCCTTTTTTAATTATTATTTTTCTTGCCTCATTGATCTGACTAGAACCTTCCATATAATAATGAATCATTGTGATGATGGTGGGCAATTTTGTCACTGTTTGATGTTAAATAGAATTTTTTTTTTATTTCTCTGCCATTAGATATGATGTTTGCTGAAGTTTGTTTTTAATTTCCAGATACTCCTTTTGGAATTGGGGAAGTTCCTTTCTAATCCTAGTTTGCTCAGAGCAAACTGTTATTGAGAAAGGATGTTAAATTTTATCAAGCTATTTTTCTGTATCTATTGACACAATCATTGATTTTTCTTTTTTATTCTCCTAGTGTAAGGAATTACACTGGTCGGCTTTCCTGTTAAACCAACCTGACAGACCTAGAATAAACCTAACTTGGTCATTTCGTACTGGCATTTGTGTAGGTGACATTATTTAATTTGCTAACATTTTATCTAATAATTTGTTTTTGTTAGTGAGATTGGTAGGGTTTTCTTTGTTTGTTTTCACATTACCATTGTACCAAAATAATATGAGTTCCATAAAATGGCATGGAAAATATTTCTTCTCTTTCTGTCCCTTGGGCTTTTAGTAGAAAATTGATATGACTGTTGCCTTGAAAGTTTGGCAGGATTATTCAGAAAACTTTCTGGGCCTGATGTTTTCTTCGTTGGAAGATTTTAGACTATAGATTTGATACATATAATTACTAAGGAATTATTTAGGTCATCTGTGTGTTTGTTTCTTGAGGCCATTTTAAATATTAATTTAACATTTAATATTTCAAATTTATTGGCTATAAAGTTGTGTGTCCACCTCATTATATTTCTGATCCCTGTTATTGTGTTTCTGTTTCCTTTTTCATTCCTATTTTGCTTATTTCTTAAATCAATATTCCAGGAAGTTTTATCTTTGTTAGTTTTTTCAAAGAACCAAATTTGATTTTATCAATACTCCTTTTAATATATTTATTTTCTATTGTATCAATTTCTGCTCTCGATTATTTCCTTCCTTCAATTGTATTCTGTTGTTCTTTATCTAGCATTTTAATTTTGATGCATAAGTCATTATGTTTTTTTTTTTAATTTTTTTTATTGGTTGTTCAAAACATTATAAAGCTCTTGACATATCATATTTCATACATTAGATTCAAGTTGGTTATGAACTCCCAATTTTACCCCAAATACAGATTGCAGAATCACATCGGTTACACATCCACATTTTTACATAATGCCCTATTAGTAACTGTTGTATTCTGCTACCTTTCCTATCCTCTACCATCCCCCCTCCCTCCCCTCCCATCTTCTCTCTCTACCCCATCCACTGTAATTCATATCTCTCCTTGTTTATTTTCCCATTCCCCTCACAACCTCTTATATGTAATTTTGTATAACCATGAGGGTCTCCCTCCATTACCATGCAATTTCCCTTTTCTCTCCCTTTCCATCCCACCTCATGTATCTGTTTAATGTTAATCTTTTCTTCCTGCTCTTCCTCCCTGCTCTGTTCTTAGTTGCTCTCATATCAAAGAAGACATTTGGTATTTGTTTTTTAGGGATTGGCTAGCTTCACTAAGCATAATCTGCTCTAGTGCCATCCATTTCCCTGCAAATTCTATGATTTTGTCATTTTTTAGTGCTGCGTAATACTCCATGGTGTATAAATGCCACTTTTTTTTTTATCCATTCAGTCATTATGTTTTTCACTCTTATTTAAGTATCTAAGGCTATAAATTCCCTTCCCAAACCAAGTTTGGTTACCTTCCTACAAAATTTTCAATGCCTGCAGTTCTATAATAGTTTAGTTCTGAGTATTTTCCAATTTCTATTATTGTGTCATCTTTCAATCATTGAGAAGTATTTCCTAATTTCCAAACAAGGTTTTTCTAGCTTTTTGTTACTATTTATAAAACTTGTGTTTAGAGAAACTTGTCTGTTTTTGAATCATCTGAAATTTGTTAAGATGTGCTTTTTGAATTGAGAAATGATTTTTTCACATTTATTCTATATGTAATTGAAAAATTAAATGACAGTTTTTTCTTCTAACATGTCCATTACATCAAGAATGTTAATAATGTTTATGTCTTTTATAGTCTCATTGATATTTTTGTTTGTTTTCTTGATCAATCCACTGCAAAAGAAGGAAAATTAAAATCTTCCCATAGTGGATTTGTCTGTAATTCTTTGAATTTGTCAATTTTTTGCTACATAATTTCAAAACTGTGTCATTAAAGCATACAAGTTAAGAATTATCTTCCTGGAGAATTGAACAGTTTTAAAATAACAATGTAATAACTCTTTATCTGTAGTGATGCCCTTGACCTTAAAGCTTTCCCCACCCTCAGCTCTTAGATATGCTTTCTTTCCGTCTTTGTCTAATAAATCTTTTCCATTTTCTTACTGTCAACCTCTGCTTACTTAGGCTTTATATGTTTTTCATATAACTGTATTTTTAAAATTCTAGTCTAATAATTTATCTTTCTAACTAGAGAATTGAGACCATTTAAATTATAGAATTGTTTCTGTTCTTTAAGAGTTACCCTAAAACACCCTAGAGATATTACTATTTCTTCATTCACCATTCTTTCTTGCATATCAGTTCTTCCCTTTGGAATTACTTTCTGCTCAAGGTGCCTGCTTTAGAATTCATTTTTTCTGTTCATAGTGAACTTTTTTAGTTCTTCTTATTTTCCAATACCCCTTTCCCCCTATTCTTGAAAGAACACGGGCCCTCCATGTACATTTGATTTTCAGGAGACCCTCACGTGCTCGTGCACATGGAGATATTGTCCCAGTGCCTTCGAGCTTCCGTTGCTGCTTTCCATTGATTGTTGTTCCTTTGTTTGACATCTTTCTGGCTGCTTTTATGATGTGTTTCTTGTCTTTCGTGTTTTGCAGTTTCACTGTCATGTCTATGTGTGAGTATTTTTGTATTCACCTGCCTGAATTCATAGAATGAATTTGGAAGTGTTCCATCCCTTTCTATTTCATGGAATAATTTTGAGGAACATTAGTGTTAATTCTTCTTTAAAGGTCTGATAGACTTCAGCTGGGAATCCATCTAGTCCTTGGCTTTTCTTTGTTGGAAGGCTTTTTATTACTGCTTCTATCTGGTTGCTAATGATGAGGCTGTTTAGGTTTCCTACATCCTCTTGATTCAATTTTGGCAGATCATATCTGTCTAGAAATATATTCATTTCCTCTAGGTTTTCCAATTTGTTGAAGTATAAGTTTTCAGCATCCTGCTTCAATTCATTAAGCTTCTTGAATCCATAGTTTATGTCTTTTATCAGCTCAGGAAAATATTTAGCCATCATTTTTCCAACTGTTGTTTCTCCTTTATGTTTTCTTTTCTTCTTCCAGAAGTCTGACAAGATAAATGCATCCTTCTCACTCTATATGTTTTTATTTATTAACTTCTCTCATACTTTCTCCCTCTCATTCCATTTACTTATTCTCTGATCTACTGTATCTAACCTCTGTTAAATTCACCCACTTGAGATTTAGTTTAATTTCAAAATATTAGAATTTTCATTTTATGAAATCCTATTTGGTTGTTTGTTTTTTTCAAATGTTCTCTTTTTTTAATTTTTTGAAAAAATCTTTTTATTATATGACAATGGTAGAAATATATAATTTAAAAATAGATCTATATAATCAAAAAATCCACAGGAAAACATTTAAAATAAGAAAATCGTATTTTACAGTCTTTCAATTCTTACTGATATGTATGGATCCTTCTTCTTTAAATATATTAAACCTATTTATTTTATATCCTATGTGTGTTAATTCTAATATCTGAGATCTTTGCAAGTTCGATTCTGTGGTCTCTTCTGCCCTTTCATGGTTCTCCCAGAACCCTGTTTCCTTTTTTATTGGGTAATTTTATTGGGTAACTGTGTGACTAGAATCATCAACTAGCTCTTTGGAAATCCTTTGTGACCTGAGTAGAAGGTGG